ATAAATTAGTGAATGAAGGATAAAAATTAATGAATGAAGGATAAATGGATATATAAATTAATGAATTAATAGATGAATAAATGAATTTTGGTAAATTATTGGGCAAGTAAAAATAAAAAAAAGAATAAGTTAACAAATAAAATGGATAAACTAATCAAAAATTGAAGAATAATATATATACCTGAGCGAACAAGTGAATAAATTAATTAATAGGTAGGTTAATCAATTAAATACAGATAGTTAATATATTGTACAGTATATCAATATTCTTAAAAAAAAAATAACAAATAAATAAATAAATTAATATGCTTTACCGAAGTTGAAAATGGTGATAATGTTTTTAAAAGACATTATTATTCCAGCGTCTATTGGCTGGATTACTGAAGTAGTGTGTAGAGGAAAGAAGTAAATATCGGTATTATTTAATTTTAAACTGCTGATTTTATGGCTACTACAATTATCAAGTAAAAGAAGCACTCGCTGATTTTTATATTTTTTTGCCATTTGAGCATCAAAATCTTTCAACCAGTCTTGAAAATAGACTGCAAGCATCCATGCCTTAGTATTATTACGGTATTTCATAGGTAAGTTTCGAATATTAATATTCTTGAAGCATCATGATTTAGCATATTTTCTAATTACTAAGGGTTTAGTTTATGAAACCTATCTGCATTTGCGTATAATGCAATTAATAAACGTTCTTTGTTTTTTTTGCGATCTGAAAGACGTCGTGTTGCTAGTATTTGATCTGGCTCTAACCTGTAATTAAAAAAAAATTTATAATAAATAAATAAATAAATAAGAATCTTAGTAACCATAACTCATGGTGATAATCACCATGGCTATATTACACAATATATTTGTTATATTAATATATTTGTTATAATATATATTATATATAAATTATTAGTAGGTTATACATATTATACAGAAATTATTAGTAGTTAGTGCCAGTAATACAAACTTTAAATTTTGACTATTCTGAACTAGTATAATGTTGCAATAGAATTCGAAAGACAGAAAAGCAAAAATACTCAAAGGCTAATGTTTAATCCAGCCTTATTTTCATGTACAATGTAGTTTGTATTATCGGTGAGAATAAGTAAATCTGTATGTATATATGAATATACCAATATATAATTGTATGAGCAAATGTACCGTATACTGCTCGCTTCGCTCGCAGCTAGACAGTTTACCTGCGGTGCTTTTTTACTAAAAAATTTCAGCTTTTGACAACTCTATCAAATAATAATGTTCATCATATGAAAGACATTTATAGGTGTATTTAAAACTTGAAACATATAGGATATCCAATATAAATACTATTGTACAGTGCTATAACTCTTGTATGTGGTTCGCTTATATCATATATTTTATTTACCCTTATTAATTAACTACCTAGTTAAATTGCGTGTTAATATACTTCGCTTTCTCAATAGTTTTTTTAAAAAAAACAATTGAATATATTATTTTGAAGCACTACCAAATGAGAAATAGGTTCTTACAATTAGTATCCAGTTAGTGAAAAAACTCACAAAAAAAATAAACACCATAAAAAAGGACAAAAATATATCATTTCATTGATACTTATCTGACGTCGAGTAGTATAATGCATTTCGAATGCTCTTTATATTTGGAGTGTATTATTATTATAACACTAAAAACAAAACCTTTTTTATAGCTAGAATCAAATTCATGACTATAAAAGTTATGATTTCAATATTTCACTACTTATTCTGAAAATAAATTCAATTTAAAAATTGCTATGTAGTTCAGAATCATATACACTGTATCATTAACTGCAAATGTGTTATGAATTCTACTTGCTGTTAATATTGATGTGTACTATACATAACATTATTCTTACTATATATTTCATTATGGAGAATGTACTATGACCTTATCTTGCTGTTTACATATGTGTGTATTATGACCCATCCCACCACATACATTGCATACATATCTTCTTTTATTTTCTTGGCATAATTCTTCAGTATTGTTGTCT